ACGTCTCAGATGTAGGTTGTGCCAGGGAAGTATTCTGGAGCGTTGAGTAGCATTTAACACACAACATCCTTTTAAAACACTATGAAACTGCACCAGGTTTCAGTACCCTACGGCAAAACGTTATGATGGAAAAGTTTGTTTAAGTATATTGAACTCGTTTGCTTCAAAAATTTCCGCTTAAATGTATAAACACATTGAAGTGTAGCTGCTGTAAGTATACAGGAAAAATTTGTAGTCAGTGTGTAAAATTTGGATGCGCTTCGGTAAATCATATTCACTTTTTATTTCATATTTTTGTTTCCCTTTTGTTTAAACTGCTAACATCAGAGATAAAAATGGAATAAACATAAAAAAGGTGTCTATAACAAAACATCTTGCTTATTATTATATGCACCTGAAGGCAGATATCCACTTTTGTCAAAATACCTACAGTACGTTTACTACTTTAAATAAACATTAAAGTCCATTTTAATATTGAATAAAGAAATATTAAAAAAAACTTTGTAATCATGCCCTATCAATGATATTAAACCATCAGAAAAAATAGCATTGATATTTTTTTTCCTCTACAGTATTGTTTATACATTTTTTACACCTATTTATAACATTTTTTTTTCGATGAATGATTTTTATACTCTTTGCAAAATTTGTAGGTATTGACTATTTGAGTCTTTTGAAATTAGACATATTTTATAAATCTCTAGTTATTTTTGTATCTACTTTGTAAGGTTACATTTTCTTACAAACTATTATTACGTATAATTAATTATGATTGTTTCCATGAAATTACTTTGGAAATAATATTTGTATATCTGCGCATTTGGCAAACACATAAATAAAACAAAGCCTACTTCCCAGACAGATATCATTATAATCAGTTTATTAAGGATCCCATGATAGTACACAGGCCTTCTGTGAGTAGGGACATGTAGGGAGAACGGAAATAAATCACCACAAGGATGAATTGGGAATGGATAGGTGTTAATGGCCACAGATGCAGCTGTGATCAGCTGCTGTTGCTGCCGTCTGAAAGGCTTAAATTTTATAAGAACATAATTTTCATTTAATTGAAACGTTTAGATTTGTAGCGTTATGGGTCATTTTGATTGATCGGTAATTGATTTACCGATCAATGAAATAAACTGGCAGAGGTCGCCTCCAATTTCAACGAACCGTAATACTTTTTTGTATATCACGATCCGATGAACGATAATAACAGTAAATATATCATAACAAGATTGACAAAAAAAAATACTTACAAACGAACAGGACTAGATGGTAACATCATAACAACACTTTTGCTTTAATGACTTTTCATAATTAAGATAATTCGATAAGTTTGATTTTCATTCAAAACAAAAATTTTAACTTTATATTACCGCTTGAATGTTAACAACTACGCTTTACTCGTATTTAATGTGTGGATGCTTTACACAGTGCCCTAGCATAGTGTTATATAACATAGTCTTATAAATATCACAACAGTGCAATTAAAACTTAACGAAATCATTTTGTGTTCCATGTATTAATTTATGATGAAACTCGTGTTTAAAACGTTGGTTTTTATAAAGATAACTATTAAGTCCTACGAAGTTTGTTAAATTACGCGATAGCGACATTATCGGCCGGTTTCTGAATTGAGAAAGTACAAAATCTCAACTGATTATTCTTAATAAATTAAGTTTTTTTACGTTTCATATGGCAAAAAGTATTAGATTTACCAAATTGCTATCAACTGATAATTAAAAATTTATAAATCAGCAATGAAAACATGTTTTAATGACATTTAAAGTGGCTTAAGCACGGTTTGAGACATGCTCAACTTCAAATTCTCAATTCAGAAACCGGGCGTATATCTTCATATACGTCATAAATGTGCTTATTGCCTAGTAAAAAGGTTGAGTAGGAAGAATAGATAAAGGATAAGTGAGTAAAGAGGGCGATATTGTTTACGTTGTAGGTATCGTTAAAACCTTTTGCTAGATCATTCAAAATCATTACATGTGCTTCATAAAGTTTATTTTAGAACCACATGAAGGTAGAATAGATATAAAATGCATATTCTATTGTCTGATATAACTTTACATCCAAATAGCGATATGAAACATATAACAAAATAAAAGTTTATGATTCCATATCGGTTATAATAAATGAATACTTGGCAACAACTTCGATAAAATCATCCACTTCCTGTTTGGAGGTTTTCTTTCTCTTTATCATATTTATCATAAATAAACAAACAAAAAAGTTTCCCATTGTTATTGTTTTTGCCTTGCCAATTTTTAAGTGCTTCAGATGCAGACTGGTTTTGTTTACTTCTTGGATGTACTTCATAAACCTATTATACAAACAAATAAAATGGGAGTGTCTGTTTGTAATATTTAAATAACCGCTGACTAAATGCATATGTATGTATACACGGTACATATAAAAAAAATGTTTTTACAATTTTATCGGTCTGTTTGTTCCGGCTAATATCTGAAACCACTGGACCTATTTTGACGAGATTCACTGGCAGATAGCTTATACAACAAGGCTACTTTCTTCACCGACGGAGTCGCAGACAACAAGTATATTATACAATCTATTTGATTTAAAGAATTTTAAAGCTCGTTTGTATTTTTTTTTAAGAATTGGTAACACATTATATTACATTCTAAACTAATACGTATATTCGTTTATACACGTATTGCATGTCACAAAGTATAAAGTTGTTACATTTATCTACAGTTCATCTGACACCCAGTGAGGGTGTGGCAATATGTTAGAAACCGAACCTTATCCACTACTGATACTTTGCTACTGACACACAAGATATTTCATCTATAATGACATTTGGTCATCAACTTGGCTACTCATTTAATAGAATGTATAAATGGTTACAGAATAATTAATAACTTAAAGACTTAAGAACAATTTAAGACTTGAGGAATTTAAAACATGGAAGTATAAATTTTAAATGTACTGATGATAGCCATTTTATCTTTTCATATTGTCTAAAATGAAATACTATGCAAATTCGAAGGTGCGCGTATCCCTCGAGCACGGTCGGATCAATTGATAATGTGTGTTGAATATTCCTATTTTTTTTATTCGAATTAAGTGCTTACAAAGTAAAATAAAGTATTTTTATGGTATTTCATAATATCGTAGATTTGACTACTATTGTAGATTTGCTATCTTAACAATATAATCAAATATTTTTGTAATTTTAAATGTATTAGATTAAAATTATTAGTCAATATATATATTAATAGTAACATTTATAAATATTATGAATTACACGAAATCTTTTAGCAAAAAATATAAAAGCAAGTTATAAAAATAATCTTTTTCCCTCAGTTACATATTTATTCATTATTATATTATTTTTCTAGCTAAACTAATAATAGTGGCTTTGTATTTAATAGTTTAATAGAAACTTAACAAAGTTTTTAACGAACAAGACTAAGAATAAATGTTATATAACGAATGTAGATAAACCTCTCCCAAGGTTTTTCACGTGTATTAGAAGGGTAACTCGAGAAATGTTTGCCTAATGACGTGAAAATATTTTTTTATAAAGTATTGGTTATTTCTACGTCTTATCTTCCTGGTTACAATTTTAAATAAAGACTAAATAAACAATCGATCATAAGAAGAAACCTGGTTCATATTTTTGAAACAATTTCTTCATCTATCCAATTGACCTGAATTTCAGACACTAACCATGAGCGGTACCGATGTACGCAACTCAAACAAACATTTTACTAACACGAGTGCTCAATATCCATCATGTATATTCAAGTGCCCGGTTTTTGATTCTGTTTTATTTTCAATTGACTTGCGGATAAAATCCAACTACTACGTCATGTAGTAAAGATCAAAATCAACTTTTAATCGATAAATGTTGCTCTTACCCCAACCCATTCGACTTTTAGCTCACTATTTATGAGACCCGAAGTGCCAAAAAACAACGAATATATTTTTTAACTACAATCTAATATATTACTTAATCCACTCCAATAATTCAGATGATATCTACTTGCATTTGGGCCAGGTTTTAAAAAAATAAATCGGCCGATTCCAAGTCGGACTTGTAATATGAATGATTCTGTACTACTGTACCATATTAACATTTGTCTATTACCGTTAAGCCTTAGTTACACGTATTCTATGAAATTTTCAATGACAAATGTACTCTGCAGAAAGCGGAGGCATATTAGAATGCCGTTGGTATTGTATGGCTACGGAACCCTAGAAAAGTAACACTACTTTCTACGTTATTCAAATGAGATAGGCTTGAATATATAAAAATGGGACGCCTTAGCTTGCTTAAGATTGTTAAATTATACTCAAAGTATACCATGGCTCTTATGTATGAAACTGATCGAATGTTATCTGCCTTTATAGATTCTTTTATTTACATAACCGATGTTAATGTTGTTTCAGACCTGCACACCATTAAACTCTTGCACATCAGCGCTCTGTTATAAACATACGCGAATCAAATAAATATTTATACGTACATTTACAAGTCAAAATACTTTTTTTTTCAAATATAAATTAGGTTAAATAAACATTTACATAATTATCGTTTCTATTCCGTATCTACAGCGTTTATTAATCTATCAAAAGTTCGTCATTACAACATGTTCCGTTGGTTATTTTACATCAAGCAAACTTCCTTTGTTTATTTTGTTATGCATCCCGTTTCCTTTTATATTTTCCATTTTCTTATGATAAACGAAAATAAATTATGACTCCCCTCTGGCCTGCTTTTATTTAGTTTAGGTAGGCTATAATATTTATAGCAAAACGGTTATAGCAAAATTAGCTATTATATAATCATATACGTGGTAGCACAATTGCTTGGTGATTTAAATGTCCATGGATACAGTGTTGCATGACGGTATGAGGAATGCAATATTTCTTATAAAAACGGCAGACATGTCCTATCTTTTAATAATTCTCAAAAGTACTTAAATCTTATATACTAATAATGTTGTTTTTTCTTCTAGATTTTCCTCGAGTTGAAGTCGGACCAGAAAATCCGCTGCGAGTTGAAATCGACGGCAGCGCGACAATGGAGTGCAAAGTGGATGCCAAACCCAAAGTGAACTCTGTACGATGGACTAGAAATGGAAAATATATCTCAAACTCATTCACACATACCATCCAAGGTGTGACTATCCAGGATGCGGGTAAATACACCTGCTCTGCTGACAATGGACTAGGTCATCCAGGAGAAAAAGAGATTTATCTAGATGTGCTATTCCCTCCTAGTGTCACTGTTGAATCTAAAACATACGAAGCAGAAGAAGGTGGCACCGTTGAGATACAATGTGAAGTGACTGCAAATCCTGACCCTATAACTGTCGAATGGACAATGGAAGGCAAGCCAGAGTTTCATCAAAAAGGCAACACCCTCTTGCTCACCAAAGTTAACGCTGATATGGCAGGAACCTACAACTGTCGAGCGGTGAACGTCATATCATCTGTTAATGGGAAAAGAGTAGAACGCTCAAGTACTGCTTCTGTTGCTGTTCTGGTACGACATAAGCCCGGTAGAGCTAGAATTAGTCCCGATCGTCCAGTTGCACAAGAAGGTACTGGTGTTACCCTAACATGTAGTGCCAAGCCACCAGGCTGGCCTGCTCCACAATACAGGTGGTTCCGTGATATAGAAAATTCAGATACAAAACCAGCACAAGCTCTAGCAACCGGTAATAAGTACACTATACCGAGTGCACATCTCGGCAGCGAAGGAGTTTACCACTGTCAAGCCACTAATGAACTAGGCCACGGAGAATTGGCTGCAGTCACTCTAGAAGTCCATCAACCGCCCCGATTTCAGGTTAAACTACAACCACATTTGACAAAACGTTCCGGTGAACAAGACTTTTCAGTATCTTGTAGTGCGCTTGGTAAACCCCGTCCTAACATCAAATGGTTCAAAGATAACACTGAAATAAAATTGGATACTAACTTGTACGAAGTTCAAACAGATACAACAGAAGGCAGAAACTCTGTTTATAACGTGCAAAGTACGCTAAGATTTTACGGGAAAGCTAGACCTAACACTAACGACTTGCTTCCGGAAGACAGGGGCATATATTCGTGTACTTTTGAAAACGAAGTTAAGAAAGTAGAGTCTACAATGCATCTTCGAGTTGAGCGTAAGTTCAAAAGTTATAAGTAGGATACTTCTTAGCAACTGAGTTTCTCTTGACTTTCAGCAAACAAGTAAAACTAACGAACGCTTCTATTTAGGCTATATATTCACTGCACAATAAGTTAAAAGTAGTGTAAGATATAACAACTAACAATGTTGCTTATTTTACTTTCAGATGAACCCATACCAGTCAAACTTCAAACTAAAGTCGCCTATGATGTAATGGAAACTGCAGAAATATTATGTCGAGTTCAAGCCTTCCCTAAGCCCGAGTTCCAATGGTTTTATGGATCACATACAGCACCGCTACAGATGTCCTCAGACGGTCATTACGAAATAAACACGACCACAGACAATAATGACTCATACCGCAGCGTGTTGAAAATTAAAGTTGTGAAACCTCAGGACTATGGGGACTATTACTGTAACGTGAAAAACATGCTCGGTAGTATTAGACCACAGATCCGATTACAACCGAAGGGTGCACCAGAGTCGCCACGAGCTTTAACGAGCCAAAAAGTAGGTCCTTCATACGTCACTCTGAAGTGGGAAGCTGGGTTCGACGGTGGATTAACAAGCACGAAATATTTTGTTCGATATCGGAGAGTGATGACTCGTCGCTCAGACGGGTCGGCACACAACGCAGTTAGTTCCGATTGTACTGCAGAAAAATCAAATTTCGAATGGATGGAATATGATTGCGGCAGAGCTAACCCTTGCAACGTCACTCGCCTAGAACAACACAATTCCTACTCTTTCAAGGTATTCCATTAGTTTACATTTTATATAAATATTCTGTAACTTCATAAAGGACAAATAAACAAAATAGGCAAATTAATTATCTTATCGAAAGATAATAAAGCAACAAATAAATTAATTGTTTCACCAATTTCTATATAAAATGTCCTAAAATACAAATGTATATGAAATTATTTAGGAAAGGTTATCAAGTCTCCAAATATTAACTTACATTTATTTCTTTCATTTTTTGCTACCGACAGCATCTGACACTTGTTTTCAAGGTAAATCAATCGGGTTACTTTGGGTTTTTGTCATGTTTTGTGCCGTTTGCTGTTGTTTTGAACACGCTTTAGAATTCGCACCGCCGTGTTTTTCATTATAATGTTGTTACTGCAGTCGAGTTTTTGTTTGTTTAGGTTAAAGCTGTGAATACAAAGGGTCAAAGTAACTACTCCAATGAGATTACGGTGACGACAAAAGTAGATAAGATTCCACCTCCCGAACAAGTGACGTATGACCCGACTACGAAGACGGTGGCGTTCAGCGTCAGTCCCACATGCCTAGCCTTGATGGGAGTTGCGGAAGGGTTAGGAGGAATTGCTGGCTCCGGCGGATGGCAGGTAACTTAAAATTTTATATTCTTGTTTCTCATTTATATTATTTTAATTGCTTATACAACAAATATTAGAGTAAATGACAAAAAGTTATTCTCTAACAAGGAATTAATTAGAAAGTACAAAAACATGGATTAAACAGGAACTAAAATAACTTCAGTAAGATCAACACCTGTATTACCTTCATCTATAATTATAATTTCAAATATGGTTTATTTATTAAAAAAGAAATGAACGTTATAATTATTATATTTCATCAAATTTGCATTCACTGTTTGTTTGAAGGATTAAAGCGAATTTCTAGGGAATTTAAAATAATATATATGTCTTATTGATAAACTCTTTTGTGAGTAAGGTTTTGAAAACGAATTTTAAAATACAAAATTCGAGAAACAATAGTTGCTTATCGATATTGCTATTCGTTTGATTCCCACATCACGTATCCTTTAGTACAAATTGATAATACAAAAACTGTGCTTCCATTCTGATAATTTTAACTATATTTATTATTTTGTAACCTAGAAGTAAGTATTATATCATAAACAGTCAGTTTCAAAATTGTTATTAATTTAAAGCGACATCACCATATAAATTTGACATTTATTAGAGCTTGAAAAGTCACTAAACCCTAATGGATATTTGTGCAATTGACCAAAAGGGTCATAGTTTAATTACAATAACATTAGAAGAAACGCTCCACTGAATTTAAGTGTTAAAAATATCGCGTCTGAAAAATGCAGATACTTATCTTTTAAAAATTCACGAGCTCCAGGTGCCCGAGATGGTATTTGTGGGTTACAAGTTTTCTATATGATATACAATGTTTTAGTTTATACGATAATAATGGACTTTCCAATTTTCTAATGATCATATAAGACACCTCATTACTAAACCATTTTCTTATTCACAAATACATTTCGCATATAGTGATTTTTACGTTTCCAATTAGTATTTTGGCATGAGTTTGCATTAGAACATTTGGCTTGACTTCTCAGACGCTGATTCACATGCAATTTGTCACTTTTATTGTAACGTTATTCTTGGGGGATAGAATACAATACATTTGTGACGAATCAATTCCAAGTAAAGAATACTTAGGTTCTACCTACGTTTAAAACAAGATAGTTTGAAGTCAGATATGTTTTTATTTCATAGTTTCAGCTGCTATGCTCTGTTATAAACAGCTTCAAACTCATAGTATAATGAAGCGCGTATTTAGATAAACATATTATACTTTTCATGTTGTTGTTTGTTTTTGCTTTATATTCGTGTTATTTTAATTTGAATGCTTTTAACCACAGGTGGTAGATACAATGCCACTCAAGCTGTCTGGTTCGACGTCCATGTTGCAAGAAGCTGTTCTCGAAATCCCCAATAAACCGAGCCGTAAGGCCAGTCGTGTGCTCAGCGACCAACCGTTAGACGACCTCAACCCTCGCATCAGGCTCAAACTGTGTTTACAAGTTAACCAAGAGATCTGCAGCGAATACACGGAAGCTGAGAGTGAGTTGATTACACATCTATAGTTCTCAAAAAGTATCTCAGAAAGCGTTAATAAGTAATTTCACGTAGACCGATATCTAAATTTTAAAATATGTAACTTTTATAAGTTCTATCACACAGTTCATTATACCCTGGCAAATACTATATGTAAAAGATTGGCTCAAACTAATTAATGGATCGAGCAGAAATTAGGCATGCTAATTAATTATTATGGTTAAATGTACGCCAAGAAGGGATTTTTGTAAAGAATAGTTCCTTAAGGCGATAATTTGGCGTTGCCAAATCATGTAATTAACGCGGGTAAAGCCGCGGGTCCAAACTAGTATTATTATATGAAGATATTTATTACAGTCTGATGAGTATTTAGATATTAATTAGAAAAACAAAGTTTCGATTTTAATTAATTTAAATTATATAAAACTTAAGTGATGTAATTAAAATTTAAACAAAAGTGAATTCTAACATTATGTACATTAGAACGAACACAACGAAAGTAATTTAATTAATATAAGAAAATACAGTTATCAAAATACAACACAATATGGGTGCTAATACGCATACGCAATAAGATTGCAAAAGAAATTAGTAAAATATACCAATTGGGAATTCGATTTCTATTTCAGTTCTTTGGACATTTTTATAGACATTTGATATTTGTTAATTACATTAAATCTTATTATATTGCTCTTCAACAGTTGGTCCAGCATATGTGAAGAAAGAGCCGGATATGCTTGTTACCTTATTGACGACAATGATCGTCTTCGTAGTACTAGTAGTGGTAGTATGGTTGTTGTTCCTGTACTGCCGTTCGAAACGAAACGAAGTTAAAAAAGTGCGAAATAAAGATCACGAGCTGGATTCTATGAAATCTGCGATGGAGTCCATGAAGTCACAGAACCAAGCGCCTCCACCGTACACTTATGCCAGTACTGGCATGGAGAATAAAGCACTGGAACATTCTATGGACTTGCCATTGTCCATCGATGATTCCAAAAACACAGTGTACGCGACGCAAGGGGGCTACACCTACCGCCCCTCGCACGCGCAGGTACACCCTGGACAAAATATACCCAATTCAGAATGTAAGTTTATATTATTTTCATACATATTTTCTCTAATCTTTATATCTCATCGTTTCATTTTATTATTTGACTCATCGTAGTATAATTTTTTCTCTGTCAAAAGTAGTATAGTACTTAAATATGTTGTACTAATGAAACCAAATAGACTTGGATTCACGTGTTTGCCGATAACCGTGAAGTTTTGTTCTATCTATTATTACCATAAAGATTTTGTTGATTTATTTTGAATGTTTTCTCTTTTGCAATCACAAGGACTAACCACAGTCTGCATAGAAGGTAAACGTTTTAGCGTCACCCTGCATGTGCAAGTGCATGAATGCTTTAGTTTTGTGGAAATTTGTGGACACTGTTTTTCTTTACAGGGACGTACGTCGACAGTTATACGAATAGTAACAACGGTGGCAGCGTGAACTCGCAGGACTCGATGTGGCAAATGAAGATGGCCGCAAACGGGGTGGTTGGGATGCCAGGCCATCAGTTGTTGGAGCGACAGAGTAATTACGAGTACGATCCGATCGCTCACGGCGGGTACTCTACTATGGAAGAGTATGCGCCGTACCAGCGGCTGCCGCACGCGCAGCCAACGGCGGATTATATGCGCGCCGCACACAATCCCTCGCGCCAGGACTACTGCTCAGACCCGTACGCTTCCGTACATAAACCCAAGAAACGTATTGATCAACATATGGGTAAGTTATCTAATTTTTTTGTCTATTTAGTTTTGATGATCTTTTAAACTCTAAGCCTATTTACTTGCTTTATTTACCTGATTATTTTTTTTCTATCAATTTTACCATTTTATTTTTTTCATTAGAAACCTGCTTGGAATTGATCGAATATTTGAAAAAATCGAATCGATCTAGCTTTTTCCGATTTTGGTTATGGTTAGGTTTGCCCTGAAATCTCAGTTCACAAGGCTATTATTTATTATAACAAAGAAATAACAAGTCTGCTCTAAAATCTATTATGAATCATCTTTCTAAGAAGAATAGCCAATTATATAAATGTACTGTTCCACAGAATCGCCTTACCACGAGGTAAGCGGTCTGCCGGAGGCGTACGACGGCGGCCCCAGCGGCGACGCGGCGGACGACAAGCCCGCTCACCTCTCGCTCAGTTACGACGAGTCGCTCGAATCCGGCTATTCCACACCGAACACACGCTCGCGACGGGTTATCCGCGAGATTATTGTCTGAGAACAGACCCGCATAGGTGTAGCTAAAGGGGATAGACATGGGCACAAAACCAACTCGATGCCAGAAAATTATGAAATTGTCATTGAGAGTCATTACTTAGCCCCTATCCCCGAAAATCATACTAGCTACACCAATGCTGCTCTAGGCCCTGTCGAAAGAGTTAAGCTCTAATGTACAACCGCCCACCGTTTCACGAACACTCAACTAACATATGCCTTACTTACTTGTCGCATAACTACGAGACGTGACGTTCGTAATCAACTCTAAGCTCAACTCAAAAGTATTTGTACTTTCACATTTGCTAAGTTTATTATCTGAGTTTGCTTTAGGGGATGGACAGCTAAAATAAATGATGTCCCACTAATATACGTTTTTACAGCTCTAAAATGTTACTTACGTTGATCTTTTAAGCGAATCTGCTGAAAATCCCAATTCATAATCTCCGATTACAAACGAATAGTACATTAAATGTCAATTAAAAACAAATTTCTTCACTTTAAATATTGGAACTGAATTTGTATTTCAACGTATTGATTTTCAATACTTTACCAAAAGTTCACATTGAATTTCTGGTAACATTCAATACTATGGGTATAAAGATATACCTATGGCTGTTAATTTATTTACTTCTAACGAGAAAGAAATTAGAATTGACACGAGGAACGTGTGCCTAAATACATATAAAAGAAAAATACAAGTCTGCGGTTCAGACAAGTCATATTTTATCTGTATGACTGATTAATTATAATCAACATTGTAATAAATAAGGGAACATCGTGATAAATGATATGAAGCATGGGCATCGATCTCTATCATATGCGCCAGCTACATAACCCACCACTGCCCAAACTAGACATGTATTATATTCTAGTAAACCGGCCGACAATTTAATAATGTTCTTAAGAAATTACTTCAAGTATTTAGCGGATATCTACCGTCACAAGATTCAAGATCAATATTTTTACATGTAAATAGCATTTATCTAATGTATTGAATGCATATAAATTAAATGGCACTATCATTTAAGTTAAACAAACTATTTACACTGTGGTATGATTAAATATCTGTTTATTATTGATATTAAACACAAAGATCGAGAAATGCAATTTACTATAGAAGAATGAAATGACTGTTTCTGTTAAGTATTTGAAATGTTGTAATCAATTATATCGCAATAAATATCTTTTAAGAATACAAGGCATGGTTTATACAAAAGTCTGGCATTTACCGGTACGGTTTTAAAAATAAATTATAGGTTGCTCTTTACATTTTTGTACTTGTACTTAACCTTTGAAGACCAAAAATTCCTTGTAGCATAGCATAAACTTCTCATGGTTATTTTAAGAAGGGGCGCCTTTATCCTTGGCGGCGTCAAAGATACATGTGCTGAAACAACTCAAAAAAGGAATTTTATTTTACAACGAAGCAACGATATAGGTACCTAAATATAAAAAGAAAATAAATTAAAAAAAATTTTTTTTTCATATTTTAGACGTAACATAAATATCGTTATCTAACTCATAAAAGCATATATAACATTCTTGTGCATACGATATTTAAGTAAGACCTACATATTACTTGCTCATTGATTTGTTATATTTCAAAATTTCTACTTAAAACTATATTACAAACTACTTAACCTTTTATTGCTACGAAAATCAATGTTGATCGTTTATAAATGAAAGTAAATAGGAAAAGTATGAGGCAGAGAAAAATGTTCGTGTGTTGAATTTATGATATTTAGATAATAATTATTGTAAATATACACTGTTATTAGTCGATAAGCATTCAATATGTGACAAGGTACTCAGCCTAAATACAGTTACAAGCTTACATGTAACGTTTTAGTTTATTAAAGAAAAGTATGATATTTTATTGTTATTATATTACTGAACTGTATTATGTGTATTTATAACTTTTATATACTCCGATCTACGCTATATCATAAGTTTTTAAAGTGCCACTCTCTTCAATCTCACAATGTTCTAATTATTTTAGTAGGTTATTACAACCTTGAAATGAAAATAATAAATTTAGTGGAGTGGTTGAATAAAGCTTGAAGGCTTTTTATTTATTAAGAATCGGCATGAGTAAATCCGGACAATCTTTTATCTAAAGTATACATGTAACAGTATTTATTATTACAAATCGATTTGTTCCACTATGTTCTGACTATTAGGACCTAGTTTTACAACTTAACAAATGTGTTATGAGACTCAGTCATGAATTGGAGCTCATATTTCTTTGTAAACTTAATTTCGTGTAACAATTTTTTCTTGTTTCTTCCTTTCGTAATTTAGTAGCTAATTATAATGGATTTACGAGTCATTATGTATCTTTGTATGATAATCATCATAGCATAATTTTCCTTACATATATACTGTTACTTGTATACACAGCAGCACATCAGATTACTATAATAGGCCAAATTTCTGCAATCCATTTTGAACTTAAGTAGCAACAGATTAAGACCTAAATTTGATTGGGGATTGGCAAGAAACCTGACGTGCTGTCGACTATACAATTGAAAGAGTGCGGCCTTCGGCATTCAAAGCTTTTTGTAACAATAATATGATAGGTACGAATTACTTATAATAAAACCTTCATCAAAAAGAATGACTGCAGTTGGCTCTTGTTCCGTTTTAACTCATACCTTTAACAGCGAAAGACTGTAATAGGTAGTTAATACATTACTTTTAAGATTACGAAATCATTATAAGAAAAACATGTAAATTTTATGAATTACAAAATAATTATGTGTACATAAAATCACACAATTTTGTGAAAAGATTAAGCTAAATTAATGTGAATGAATCATAATGTACTCTTTTTTTATACAATTTAGTTGCGTCTTAGTTTTTATTTCCCAAAATGTAATAATGATCTCTTTATATGCAGATTACCGATGAATTAATGAGATATACATTTATAGAGATTACTCATATTATTTCTTAGACATGTAATTTTACTCAATTACTAGTTAAATGCAGCAAACATAAATATCAAATGACTTTACGATTTATTGCTATCAAATAAAACACATTCTTTAATAAAGAAATAATTAAGATATGATATGACGTCGTGTATAGGAAACAAATCACAATCATTTAAATTTAATATTTCAACAAAATATATGGAAGACTGCAGAGATTTATTTAACGTCTAACACTGAAGTTCGATTTAGTGAATAAAAGGAAGTAATAAAGACGCAGTTAATATGACTAACCGTCATTCTGGGCTAATTCAATTTTACCAAACCGAAATGAACCTTGTCCATCCATTTTAATTTTAGAAAAAGCCACATGACGTGCCTGAAGTCAAGTAAGAAAATGGAAAATAGACTTTATATTCGTAGAGCTAAATGAAACGTAACAACTGCGCAAAGTCAATTAACGTCCCATTTTTTCAGTTGCTCTTTCGCGTAAGGTAGCTGAATGCCATAATATTGATTGTACTTATTAGTGTTAAGTATATTCACATTAACCTGTAAATACTTTTTGTAAGTTTTCATTAAATTACTTTATTTTAATTTGTATTTTATTTATACACATCAATATTTTTTTCCCGGAAACATTAGCATATCGCTATAATATTTTTTGTACAGCTCGTTAGGTTATACAATACAGTCCAATTTCTCCCAGCACAATTCAAAATGAATACGTAAATTTGATATTTTATGGGAACCTAATATGCCGCTTTGTGTACAAAACAAAGCATTTGTTAAAACCGTCAAATTCAACATCAACCGCCGTAACCAAAATGCAACATACATCGAGTTTAATCGAAATTGTTTTCTACGATAATTACATACAAAGAACTGTCAATATCCATGCTTATACAAATAGTCTTTCGATTTAAATACAAACATATTAATAATAATATAACGTGCGAAAGATTTTTTGTCTTGTCTAATTTATTTATATTTTTTTGGAATGCAATTCTTTGCATAGCATCATGAACTTTATGGTTATAGAGAATTGAAATGATAATGCTTTCTGTCTACGTCGCTCTCGTGCGTCATTTACCGGTCGCGATAGATTCTAAATTTTAAATGATACATTTTCTCCGAATCATTGAAATATTGTATCTGTACACTAAATTAATTTTTCTTTACAGTCCAGTGCGTATTGGTACGTTGAAACCAATCACATCTCATCTAAATTTACGCGTCAATCCACTAAATAACATAAAACTTTCATCATCATCCCCACTGGTCGCGTTTCAAAAGTGTTGTTGGCTTAAGTTTCGTGAACTTTTAAGCTTCCAACCGTCCAACTAAAGTTATGAAACTTCGCACACCAAACCGAATACACAAAAGCTTGGAGACCTTAATACAGTCAAAAGCAGGTATATTGGGTAACAAGAATTGTCTATACCTTGTGTGTTAATAAGTTTTGAGCCAACTTTATACTGAAAAAAAAAAAATTTACAGTCTGTTATTAATTTTTTTATCGATTTTGAATTTGAAATGTTAACTTTTACTTTATTTGTATCGCAAATTTATTTGTTTCTATTTTCTCGTGATGGAGGGAACGAAACAATAGGGATGATGACTAATTTTTGTTTGTTTGTCCGTCAGGTAGAGTGTTAAAAAATATTAAACACGTATTTTATTATTTTTTTCGTAATCATAAAATTACGGCGTTACATTAAGTTGAAATTTCGCATGACGTCACGTTAGAGTACGTTTTCTACTCAAATCTAAGCTATTTCTTGTTAAATTGAAGTAAAAAAAATACGTATCTAATATTTTTCTATTATCTGACTGACGGACTCAATAGAATTGCATTTTTTTTACCCAGTCATCATCCCTATTACGTGCAACTGTCATTTCGCTATTTAAGGCGCGAAAAAACCGATGCGGATTTTCCGCGAGCTCAAAAGTTTTCCTGTAAGCCGTAACTTCGTCTATTACACAATACAAAGAGATAAGTTTTCTGCAAGATCGCCAAAGGAGTGGTCGGTTACGCTCTCTGAGGACGCCTGCGAACATCAAAATCATCCGAGAGTGACTTAGCCGAAATGCATGTCACACTCAGAAGAAACTCGCTCTGCATAGTAATATTTTGCGCGTTTCAGTAAACAGAATACTGAAATATGACCTTAAGGTAAAGGCCTATAGCCGCAGAAAAGTTTACTTTTTAATCGATCGTCTTCGTAAGTTACGACTCGAACGTTGTCCATTGTTGCTGAGGAGACATGATGCCAGGAAGATACTCTTCACCGACGAGAAAACTTTTACTGTCTAATTAAATTCTGCACGGAATATCTTGCGCACTCATCATCCGGCTAGTGTGATGGTAGGGTGGGTAGTTTCGTATGAAAATGTCATTCCGCTCTATTTCTGCCAACAAGGTGTCAACGTGAAATCCAAGAATTATCAGAGTGACATTTTAGGGCCACAATGCCGTTATTTCACAATAAGGAATGGGTTTTTCAGCAAGACTCGGCGCCATCCCATAAGTCAAAAAACACCAAGCTTGGTTGAGGGAGAATGCGCCGACCTTCATCGCGACGGACGAGTGGCCCTCCTCTAGTCCCGACGTCAACCCGCTGGATTATTCTTAACGGACTGAATTAGAGCTCAGGGCCTGCCGAAAGTCCCACCCAAACTTGGAGTCACTGAAGCGAACCCTTATTCGAGAAGCAAAGCGAATACGCTAGAAAAGATTTGTGCCGT